TTTATTTCCTTATTTATTTCACACTTCAGATTATCCCTAACATAGATTGCTACTCCGCCTCCTTTCCTGGTCTGCCTATCGGTATGGAACAGTTTGTAACCCGCAATTTGGTATTCGACTGGTAATTCACGTGTGTCTAGGTTGATCCATGTTTCAGTGAATGCAATTATATCGATTTCTTCGGTACATACCAAGGCCTTAATATCATCCATTTTGTTTCTCATACTTCTACTGTTCGCGTAGTATACATTTAAGTTAGTCGTGTTCTGAGTCCTTCCCTTACCGCGTTTAGTTTTAAACTCCCTGTCTAATTTAGTTTTGTCATCATTCCTAACACTATTTCCCTGTAATCTTTCGCCTTGTTTACCCGCTCCCACTGCAGTCTCCTCCACCCCCGTGCCCCTATGTTCTCTTAGCAGTTTAAAGACTTTGATATCTTTTGAACTGCCCCCTTTAGAGCCCCAGCCAGGGTTGCTACTCCATCCCTAGACAGGTGCACCCCATCCCTAGCACAAAGGTCCCTTCTGCCATAGAAGTTGTCCCAGTTGTCAATGAATGGGACTGATATTGACTTGCAATATCAGTCAAGACGGTCGTTAACACCAACTGCCCTTGACAACCATTCACTGCCAACTCTCCTTCTAGGCAGGACACAGCATATGATAGGGATCCCTCCCTTAGTCCTAATACGATCTATGGCTGCCTTGAACTTATCAAGAAGTTCCTCGCTCCTACACCGGCCAATATCATTGCCTCCTGCACTGAGGCAGATAATGGGTTTGTTCCCATTACCAGACAAGATATTGTCCATCCTGTCAACTATATCCCCCACCCCAGCTCCTGGCAAACACACCCTCATCCTATTTTTGTTTTTACCACAAAAGGCCCTGTCCATGTACCTTACCTGTGAGTCACCAACAATTAAAGTTTTTATACCTTCCTTGTCATCCCTGCCCCTGACTGTACTAACGTCCAATTCGTCTATCAAGGGACTGAACGGGTTGGTACACTTAGCTGTTGTTGTCGTTGTTGTCGTATCCTTCGTGTGCTTCTTCACCACCAGCTTGGTCCTCCCACTACTCACGACTTTCCACTCTTTTGATTTTTCGTCAGACACTGGCTTTACTTGTCCAGCCTCTCCTTTTAACTTCGCCAGCTCTTTCCTTAATTTCAGGTTCTCCAACGTGGCCCTCTCAATTTCTAACTTGGCCCTCGCCAATTCTTCAGTGGACCACTCCAGTTTGGTCAACAAACTCTCATACCCAAGACCGCACATATCACTGGCCATATCTGATAATTATCCCTCTGGAGCTAACCCTGCCGTGACCTTTCCCCTAGTGAGGTCAGAACACAACTGAGTGAGGTCAGAACACAACTTGAGCGTCATGAAGCCGTCGTTGATCTCAATAGGCATTTCAGTTAGCCTGAGTAGGATGCGTTGGCGGATGGCAAAGCCAACTTCATAAATGCGGTTTCTCTCCGCAGCAGGCTTACCCTCCAAGAAGAAGGTATAGCCAAACCCCTGTTCTGTGAGTTGACCCTCGTCTGGGAGCCTGGACTCACTAATGACTGCTATGGTGATGCTGTACCTAGCCAGCTCTTTTGCCACAAGGGCAGTTCTTTTTTCAGAATGCTCATTTGTGCCAGTATCCAGAAGGGTCTTGACATTCCATGCCGCGACCATAAGAGGTTGTATAGTTTGTTTTTGTTTGGATCTGTGATTTTGATTGTGTTTTCGACCGCATAAGGATGACTTTACTGGGTGCGGCTGCCCAGTCACACACACACACACACACACAGGAGCAACAGCGAAAACATCACGTGCCCTGTCAGTCATGCAACAGAGAAGGCAAAGAGGAAAACTCTCACTGTGTTTAATTATTTCGTATCAGGAGAGTCAGAGCAGGTGTGGGTGTGGAGTACCTCTTATTATACCCCCTGAAACTAGCCCCCCTACCCCACTCTGTGATGTTACCCTCTCTTATTCTACCCCTTGTGTAATGTTACCCCCCTCTTTTTCTACCCCACTCAGTGATGTTACCCCGTTTTGTTCTACCCCCTGTTTGATGTTACTCCTTCTTTTTCTACTCCACTCTGTGATGTTACCCCATCTTGTTCTACCCACTTTGTGATGTTACCCCCTCTTTTTCTACCCCACCCTGTGATGTTACCCCCTCTTTTTCTACCCCACCCTGTGATGTTACCCCCTCTTTTTCTACCCCACCCTGTGATGTTACCCCCTCTTTTCCTACTGCACCTGTTATTTAACCTTTCCTTGTTCCACTCCGACACTGGTCCTTGTGATGACATATACTTCTAACGGTGGTTCTAGTGCTCTCTCTCTCTCTCTCTCTCTCTCTCTCTCTCTCTCTCTTTCTCTCTCTCTCTCTCTCTCTCTCTCTCTCATACACACACACACACATACACACAATTAGACATATACACTTTGTAATGAATGATTACTGTCTATGGACGACAAATAAACTCCAGGAAACACCTAAAATTTGTGCAACTTCCTTGTTACAGTGAAGAGTGTATATAACTCGTCACATCATCCTTCGCAACCACTCCTAATGTTGTGATTTTTTCTTCAATAAATCTGTTAAAGTGTCATTGTTCATTTAGTATCTGTATTTTTCTGACTAAATAACTGTTTCATGTCATTAGCAAAATCCCTTCATCAGGCACCGCAAGGAGGCATTGTGGCCGTCACTGCACTCATGAGTCTATCACTTCCTCCAAGCGCGAACCAGCTACCCCTAGGTAAGGATGCGAGCACTGTATTCACTCGTCCGCTGCACCCTAAATTAAACTGTAATGGGCATTTATTTTGAGCCTTTACTTGTAATCTTAATCTACGAGAGACGTAATTAGGCGAGCGAATGAAGTGATCTTGAGACTATACTGTGGAAGGATGCACCGTAGTAGAGTACATATATTACAGCAACGGGGGTGAGGTAGTGATGAGAGAGTCAGTGTTGTTCTCGACTTGGATTAAGATTTTTTTTTTTACAAGGAATAGCCCAGCCGGGCACAGGTCGAACGACCCACAACGGGGCTTAGGGGGCGAAAAAATAGGAGTAAAAAGAAATTAAAAATAGAAAAGAAAAATATTATATTAATTTACACCACGAAGATGCTGGAAAACCAGCTTTTTGAAGTGAGCCAGATTGTATGAGTATGGGAACACAGAAGAAGGCAGAGCATTCCACAGTTTGGGTGTGTGAGGAAAGAAGGATGTACTATAACGGGTTATTCTTGTGTGACCAATGGCCACAGAGAAACGGTGGGCACTGCCGGCGGTACAAAGGATGCCAAATCCACCGAACATTGCCCGTTCAAGTACCTGTAAAAGAGAGAGAGTGAAGCAACATTGCGGCGAAGAGAAAGGGAAGAAAGATTATCAACTAAAGGAGGAGAGTCAATAAGACGAAATGCCTTTGATTTCACCCTATCTAACAGTTGGAAAGAAGAAGAGCCACCCCAGATATGATAGAGAAAATGAGAGTTTAACATAGTTTCGAAAATCTTAAGAGAGGGATGAAGTTAGGGCACTGGGTCGATAGTTAGAGGGATTGGAATGGTCACTCTTCTTCGGGATGGGCTGAATTGAGGCATGGTTCCAGGAAGAAGGAAAAGTTTGTGTTTTGAGGTAAAGGCGAAAGAAGGGAGCAAGCACAGGCTAGAACTTTAGCACTCTCCCTCAGAACAAGAGGGGGTATTCCGTCCAGTCCATGCGCCTTACTCACATCAAACCTGGATAATACACCAGCAACCCTACGAGTGGAGATTATAGGAAAGTGAATACGTTCAGTATTCGTGGTGCTTTGTGTCCGTAACGAACCAAATAACAAATTTGAATACAGCACTTATTGGCCCAAAGAATTTTATGACAATTAAATTATTTTTTCTCAAGACATTCATGTTATTTACATTTTGCTTTATGAGTGAAGGGCATTTCTAGTAAGTGTATGGGTGACCGAAAATTCTAACTCTCCTATTGTAAAGTGGGGGTATCCTCGTTCTCATCTTAAGTCAGTGTTATGTAGAATATTGAAATAGAGGGTAAACAAAATACCCTATTATTTTTGTTATTAAGCCAGCCAAGGTGTCTTCAAAGTTGAGAGAACTTGTAATGAAGGTCACCACCAGCGCATTCTATTCTTGGCTTCAATCACATTATTGGAAAATCGATATTCGTGCGAACAACATGAACTAAAACAATACAGATCTATAAGTAAGACAAGACCTACAAGATTACCCTCGTGGTCTGCCTCCGTCTCTAGAGTAGGTTATAGAACGTTAAAGATGTTTAACGGGTTTTAACATGTGTTTAATGTTAGCAATATATACACACACACACACACATATATATATATATATATATATATATATATATATATATATATATATATATATATATATATATATATATATATATATATATGTGTGTGTGTGTATGTATGTATGTATGTATGCATGTATATATAAAACAACATCTTGCCTGACATTACACACATGATAAAAACTGTTTAAGTTCTGGGATTCAAAGTTTCCATGACGCTGACTTTTGTACCCATAAACACGCTGCAAACTTCTGCTTTAAATACATGTACGTATACAGGATCACAAACAGTATCGCACCAACTGTGAAACTCTCCAGGTTAGTTCCCAATTTTTACTTTATCTTTGTCAGTTTCTTTTCTCTAACTTACAGTTTAGATGACTTAGTGCCAGTCTTACGTTATAAAACTCCTACAAGACATCTTTATACATTTTTAGGTCTAAGTCTAAGGGATCATAGATTAATGTATTGAAAAACTGAGGACATTCTTACATCGAGAGGATACAACTTATGGAATACATTACCTTCTTATTGTTTATTAATTCGATCAACACGCTGCTAAAGTGTACATCCTCACCTTCAATAAATGGTCTGGACTGCCACGCACGCGCAGCTAAAAATTCACTTACGATTCTTAGATTCAGTATTTTCTTACCAGTATGGTCAACATTGCCAACAGCTCCCAGAGTCGCTTGTGACCAGAATATGGCAGCACCAGAGTCATCTTTGCAGTTCACTTGCTCTCCGCTGCGACAAAAGCGTCACTTAATGCTTATAGCGCGTCAGTCCTGAAATTCTGAAGAAAAAAATATGTATAAGATTTATGTAAATTTTATAATTTTCAATGAAAATCTCAAGATCAATTCTACTATAAGTATTTAGATTTCCATTTTAGGGTGTAAGTGGATTATGCCATTGCCGCCTGTGAGCCAGGCGAGAAAATATGTCTCTTGGCAACTCTGGTCACTCCCTCCGGGCGCCTCAGTAATAATTCAGAGCGTTTACTCTCCCGAACGAAAGATGTGGAACTACAAGTTTCCCGGGTAGAGGTAAAGTCTGAAATTTAGTTATCGTGCCTTTACGAGACCTGACGGCCGGTGATGGCAGCCAGGACTGGGTGGGGACGGTTCCAAGGCTACACAACTACACCTTATCACTAATGTGCGAGTGCTGAGTCAATCCCCTGCAGTGGGAAAGTGGCAAGAAAAGTTACACGATCAAATATCGACGTAGATTAATTTTAATCTGACCTAATCCTAACATAAGTAATACAGCTTACTTCAACCCTACTTAAACTACTTTTAAGTTGACATAGCTTTGTTGTCTCGGGGAAAATATTGAGTCGATATGCATTGTTGTTGATAACAAAAGCACTTGTATAATTTTATCCATAAAATTTTTCAATAAACTAAATAAGAGACATTAAAGACTTGTTTTAATGTCTATTGCACACACCGTATGTGTTGTAATGTACTAAAATGTGTACCGAGTGTGGCAGCAAGTGGTCTGGGATGGCTCTAGAAATTTAACACAATGGCGTACATGAGGTTATTTTCCACTTGACGGTCCACTCACATGTGATCTAAGGGGCTATGAATAGATATGAACGTCGATTTATTGATACTTTGAACATTTATGACTCACCTACACATAAGACACGTGAGTGATGTATTGTGATTGCAGTGTGTTATAAGATAATGATTACATGATAGGCACGGTGCTATCATGGTAAGCTTCATATAATATATAGCATTGATCATTCAGAGATAATCCTGACGTTATAGATGTCCTAATATTAAATGACAGGTAAATTTATCGTGAGATGCTCAGACGTCATCCACTCATATCCCTAGTAATAACATGTATCGATATTTTCTCAAATCAGTGGACGTAGTTCTTGTTCATAGTCCAACAATATGAACATTCGACTTATCCCTCCCTCCCTCCCTTATATACTAGTGTTGAAAGTCAAATAGATCTAGAAAAGTTTAAGCATTAGTTTCTGCAGATTACTTATTCAAATACTTTTATTCAGAATTGTGTTAGAATAACATGTTTACAGACACAGACGTAACTCCAAAGACAGTGTCTTGCCATCTTTGAATCTCTTCCAACCTCTCTCCCTCACCCTCAAGGTTTCACACGATCCATAAGAAGCTCCCACTGGAGAAAAGCCCACCACTATTACATAAAGTCCAGTTTACAAATTTATTCATTGTACAAAAGAACACCAACAGAATAATTAATGGACAAAATCTCGGCTGATCAAGATTATTTTTCTGGATCAAACTGTAATCGTCAAACTCACAAAACACAAAAAATCAAATTCACATCATATGAAATAGATTATTTTATTTACCATTGGCTTGGGTTGTCCATGAACTACATTAAATACCGATACGATGTCTGGGGCTCACGTAACAACGCCGTATGCATAGTATGTGTTAGTTACAATATACTAAGATCTGAAACGTAACATTCCCTGACAATCGCCGTGTTTTGAGGTTTGGCAACAAGTAGATTGACTCACTTTTAGTCACCAGGAAAAATCGTTTATGTTTATCGTTGTTCACTAGAAGAGTGAAAGACTTAATGGTGTGATCCACCTGTGAACTTGGCAGTTTAATTGTCCAGCAGGCTTATTAAGTATAAATGATTATATATATATATATATATATTGATAAAATCACACAGGGAAAAGGGAAACAATGGAGCACCTTAGCTTTCGTCTTTGTTCAAGACATCTTCAGAGGCAACTGAATTACATGAACAGAGAGAGGCTGAAGTACACAGGTGACATTACTAAACAGGAGGTTAAGTCATAAACATGACATCCACTAATCCGCACACTAACACCACCACACACGCAAAGGAGCTTAAGAGAAAGGGCGACGTGACTAGTCAAGTTAAGTTAGGTAAAATATATGGGACCCACTAATCATCTTCCCTACATCTAACTCCAATGCTTTTAAAGCATTTTTAACTTTGGGCCACTGACAAATAAATTTGTGTAACATATCCGTTTTGTACTGACCATCACTAAGGTTTAAAGAATTCAATTCCGTAATCAAACTAGCTTTAACCAGAAGTCTTTCTGTGACACATGATGATTTAGTATAAGAACATAAGAACATAAGAAAAAAAGGAGTCTGCAATAGGCCGGTTGGCCTGTGCATGGCAGCTCCTGTCGAGAGTTACTACCACTCTCTATCATCCATGAATCTATCGAGCCTCCTTTTAAAACTTTCCAGCGTTCCAGCGCTTACTACAAAGTTGCTAAGTTTGTTCCACTCGTTCACCACCCTATTTGTGAACCAGCTCCTTCCTATCTCCCCCCTAAACCTAAACTTATCCAACTTAAATTCGTTGCTACGAGTCCCATCCTGCTCGGATATTATAAGAACTTTATCTATATCGCCCTTTATTGATTCTTTCACCCACTTAAATACTTCTATCATATCTCCCCGCACTCTTCGTCTTTCTAGGGAACGCAAGTTTAGTTTCTTTAACCTATCTTGATATGGAAGGTTTCTAAGTCCCGGAATCATTTTCGTCATTCTTCGCTGCACCGATTCCAGTGAATTGATATCCATTCTATAATAAGGGCACCAGAACTGAACCGCATAATCGAGGTGCGGCCTGACAAACGCAAGATATAGTTGCAATAAGACCTCTGCATTCTTATTACTTACACTTCTAGATAGAAAACCTTATTTCGAACATTAACGCACTGTTTTCTATGCTGTAGGTCCGGGCCTACAAGTACCCCTAAGTCGACCTCTCTAGGTTGATGTTGTTAAGGCTGTATACATTGACAGTATTTGTTCTTCCAATATTAAGTACGCTGCACTTGCTGGTGTTGAATTTCATTTGCCATTTCTCTGACCACTCCTGTAGTTTATTTAAATCCTCATGTAGTGCATTTGCATCCTGCCCTGAATTAATCTGCCACCCTATTTTGGTGTCATCCGCAAACTTGCTTATGTCACTGCTGATCCCAGTATCTAGATCGTTTATGTAGATTATGAATAAGAGTGGGCCCAGTACTGACCCCTGGGGAACCCCACTAGTTACACGGTGGCCGGTAATAAAGTCACAGGAAAAAAAGTCACAGAAAAAAAGTCACAATTTCGGCTAGGAAAAAAAGTCACAGGAAAAAAAGTCACAATTAATTTATGGTGGCCGCTAATAAAGGTTAGGTTAGGTTAGGTTACTGAAACTGATTGACATATTAACCTTAAAAAATGTGAGAATTCGATAGTAAACTTTTCTTTTTTTCCCGTGACTTTTTTTCCTGACTTTTTTTCCTGTGACTTTTTTTCTGTGACTTTTTTACCTGTGACTTTTTTACCTGGATTCAGTTACACAGCCCCACACAGATTTAACACCATCTCTGCTGACCCTCTGTGTTCTATCGGTGAGCCACGATTTTATCCAATTTAAAACTTTACCCTCGATACCATGAGCCTTAACTTTTCTCAGAAGCCTCTGATGTGGTACTGTGTCAAACGCTTTGCTAAAGTCTAAGTAAATAACATCGTAATTTTCGTCATTATCCACTACCTCGAAAACTTTCCTAAAAAACGTCAGCAGATTTGTTAGACAAGATTTTCCCTTTGTAAGCTCATATTGAGATTCGTAGATTAATTTGCTTTTCTCTAAATGCGATCGAGTGCTATTTGCTATAATTGATTCAAGAAATTTCCCCACTACTGACGTCAAACTAATCGGCCGGTAATTTGACGCTGATGCTCTGTCTCCCTTTTTGAATATAGGTACTATATTTGCCTGTTTCCACAAGTCTGGCACAACTCCCGTGTCTAATGATTTTGTAAATATATTTATGAGAGGTCCGCTAATCTGTTCCTTACACTCTTTCAAAACTCGAGGGAGAATTTCATCTTGCCCTGGGGATTTTGTCTTCTTTAATTTATTTATCTTCTTAAGAACATCCTCTTTTCTGATAGTGATATTCTTTAATTTCTCTTCTTCATTTCACTTAAATATCAGTTCCACCCCTGGAATTTCTTCGTGAATTTCTTCTGTGATAACTGATAAAAAGTAGCTGTTCAATGCTTTGCTTATTTCCTCACTGTCATCGATCACTTCCCCTCTCCCTGACTTTAAAGGCCAAACTTTGTCCTTGACCTTTGTCCTATATACCTGGAAAAAATCCCTTGGGATTCGCCTTGGATTCTCTCGCTATCCTGATTTCGTAGTCTTTCTTTGCCTTCCTTACATTTTTCTTAACATTCCTAGATAGTTCATTATACCTATTTCTGAGCTGCTCCTCCCCTCCCTTTAATTTCTTATAAATTCCTTTCGTTATTCCTTTGTCATGTTTAAGTTTTCTGGTCATCCACCTTGGCTCATTCTTATTTGACTCAGTTTTTCTGTATGGTATATTTTGCTCTTGTGCTTTACGTAGTATACGAGTGAATATATTATAGTCATGATCAATTGTTGTGTCATCTGTGACCTCACCCGTTCCTACTGGGGACTGACCTGACTGTTCCCAGGCGACCTCACCTAGGTACCTTCTTATCCCCTGATAATCCGCCAATCGAAAGTTTGGGACTCTGACCATTTTGTCATTGTTTTTCGTTTCCCAATTTAGGGTGAACCTGATTTCTCTGTGACCACTGTTCCCTAGTTCTTCCCCGACTGTGATATCTCTGATAATATTTTCTTGATTTGTAGGTTCTGTAATTAGTTGTTTCAAAAAATTGTCCTGTACTGCATCTTGGAAGTCTTCAGATTCATAGTCACCTACAATGTTGTCCCAGTCAATATTTA